GTCTAATCTCTACAACATAAAGGAATTGAAAGTGTTTCACTTTAACCTCCCTGGATTCTATTTGGAATTCCAGTTATTAACAGTCCTGAATACCACCTTCATTATCTACTTCATCTTGTTACTCACTCACTTCTAAAAATACTTACTTTTGACCTCAAGTTGGTAAAATTAGCCTACTTTCATGTTTGTTTATGCTTTTGTTCTCTGCTGGTCTCTTTGGTCAATGTACATCTATTCATATTATGAGTTTGGATCAGCCTGACATTGTAAAGTGGGATAAAGCATCAACATGGTCTTTGATAGTCTTAGTCTTAGTCTTTGATGTTCACAAACATCCTGATAGAGAACTTAAAAAAGTGTAAATTGAACAATGGCTGCATTGCTTTTATAAGCATTTTAAAAGTGAATGTCAAATATATAGATGTCTAAATCATTTGATAATGTAAATACCACCACCATCTAAAGCACCCCCATTCTTACTAAGAAACTTATATTAGGTAGCTAATATTGGAATTGTCAGATACAAACACAGAGTACAGAATAAGTAGGTAAGAAACATTTAAAGAATGAAGTATGAAACCACAAAGATGGAGAAAGAATACAAGAGTGTCAGGAATAACTGGGAAGATATGCATAAAAAAAATGGAACTTCTAAAATGAAAAATAGACTTTTAGAAATTAAAAAACCTCAATGTATGGGTTTAACAACAGGTGAAATACAGTTGAACAGTGATCTGAAATACATAGCTGAGGAAATTACCCAGAGCAGAGCACAGAGAGGAGTAAGAAGATAAAGATGAAAGAAGAGACATGCAGAACAGAAGAGGAAACAGAAACATACATATTCTGAATTTGAAGACAGTAGAGAGAACTGAGAAAAAGGAATAATTGAAGACATAGTGATTGAGAATTTTAGAGGTGATGACAGATACAAATCTATTTTTCTAAGAAAAACCCAAATGTAAACACATCATAGTCAAACTGTAGAAGAGCAAACACAAAAACGTTCCAAAGTAGCCAGAAGAAAAGAGACAAATCATCCATAATGGCAAAACAGCAATGCCAAAAACCAGAATGAAATGGGATAACATCTTCCAAGTGTCTATTTTGCATTGTAGATCCAACCCATTGTTGGAAGATGAAAGTCATATAAAGGCATTTTCAGAAAAACAAAAGTTTATGACCAAGAGACCTCTATTAAAGGAACTTCTAAGAGATGTACTTTAGAAAGAAAAATGATCATAGAATGATGATCTGAGATATGAAAAGGAATAGTAAAATACAAACATGTAAGTACATATATATACACACATACATAAACATCTGTGTAAAATAGTGTGAACAGAGATGTCCAGATTTAAAATATTCTGGGATCCTTGGATTGTCTAGGGGGAGGTTTTAAGATATTGAACTTAAAACTTTATTGTATTAAATATGCAAGGCAAAAATTTAAGGGTAACACTAAAAGAATAGAAATTGATAGTATAAATTTGAAAAAAAATATGGAAAAATAAAACACATACCCCACATTTTTTAAAGCCAAGGAAGAAAAAAGCAGCATAGAAAAAAATGAGACTAATAAAATTAGTTCAAACAAGTCAAAATATATGTCAATAATTACAATGAACATAAATGGAATAAACTTGCCAATTAAAGGTTATATTGCCATATTGGAAAAAAAAAAAATCCAGCTATGTGAAGCTTATGAGACAGAAAGAAAATTTAAGGACAGACAAAGGTGAAAGAAGGGTGGGGGAGGTAAAAGATATATAAGGTAAACACCAATAAAGAGAGAGCTGGGATGTTACCTTAATATTTGACAAAATAAATTTTAAGACAAAAAGCAGTATTGGTGATACAGAGGGCAACTACTAAATGATAAAGAATAAATTCATCAGAAAGAAAAAATATGACAATTTAAACTTCCATTTTCCTAATAGCCTCAAAATATAAAAAGCAAAAATTCATAGAATTTCAGGGTAAAATGGCCAAATGAAGAATTATAGGTACTCCTTTTCTTTACTGTAAAAATCATAAATAAAGAGTGAATACATTCAAAAGATAACTTAGCTTGCGGGATTAAGGATGATTTTTCTCCATTTTCTAAGCTTTACTGCTGTGATAATGTACTTTTTTCAGAAATGAAGTATGCAAGTGAAATTTTTAGACAACTGAGGGCTAATTGTGGTTTTACTAAATTTTGGGGTATTTACAGTCTATAGTTTTAGATCCTGCCCCTAATGTTTATCAGGTTGTATACATTTTATTTTTCTTTTTTTTACGTGAATAATGGAAGCACTGTGGTTTGTAGGTTGTATACATTTTAAAGATAATTTGTTTGTGTTTTGCTAAAATTTCAAATGGTTTTTACATGGACTCAAGTGGTTCAGACACCACTTTACTTACACATTAAAGAAGGTGGCTTACTACAGTTTCTGCTGTACTAAAATAAAAGCATTCTGGAAAGAATGCATAATAATGCATTCCAAACTTAAATATGCTACTGATTGTTAATGGCAACATTAGTCTGGATATTTGTATCAACAACACAGCTACAACTTTTTAGACTTCTGCCCAGATGTTACAATTATTACCCTAGGGATTAGTTACCGTCAAAAAAGTAGAGAAATATACAAATTGGCAATTCTTTTTCTCACACTGATACTCCTTTGGACTTAAGTAAACCAATGTTGTTATTACTAAAGCTCAGTATTCTACCTCTATTATACTTTCTGAAATGTGTGATAAGCAACAGTTAGATGAAATAGGAAGAGATTAGTATACACAAATGGAACATAAAGCAGCATGCAAGGAAGCTGGCTCTAAAGAAAACAATCACAGGTTATTTTATCATAGTACTGAAAACCGAGACAGCAAATGGACTCTTTTTGAATATATGACCTAAAAATTGAAACTGTAAAATTTATTCTACAGAATATATTTTTTCATAGGTTAAATTTTACTGTTTGCAATTCTGGAAAAATAACATGTTGGAAAAGTAAATAGTAATTTAAAATGTATTATTTAGAAAAATATGGAAAAATGACAGGAATTCTAAATTTTTGTGAATGTTCTACCCAATAAATGTGTTTTAGAATCTTTTGAGATTTGAATTCAAAAATACTGTTGCTCAAACGCTTTCACTGTTTAAAGCCAACAATAAAAGAACAGGAAAAGAATGTAGTTATTTCCAACTCTGTGCTATAACAATTAATGACGTCTAGAAATTATATCTTAAAACCTTAAGAGTAAATTAATAAAAATTCAACATACTTCATTTTCATTTTATTTTTTCTATCATTACCTTTTTGTTTACTGTTTCAATTTGTTGAATTATACTTACAATGAAGAGCACAAGCATAAACGTACAGCTTGATGAATTCTCACATAGCATATCTGTTACAAATAATCTATTAACTTTTAAAATAATACAATGCCATGATCAAAGGACTAAAATGAAGGGCAGAGTCATAAACAAGAACAATTAAGTGTAATTAAATTAGGTGGGACACACATGTACAAAAAATGAAACAATTTTGGGCTCACATTTTATACCACGCAGGTATTCTGTATCTTTAGAACATGAGAAAATACAGTGTCTGTCTGATAGGTCTCTGACTTGGGGTTCTTTTACTGTACTTTTTTTTTTTCTCTCTCTCTCCAGTAGCTGAACATTGCAAAGGAGTTAGCAGAAAAAATATAAAATTTCAGAACCAATTAAAGACTTTTTAAAGCAACTTTGTCTTTTCTAGAGATACATTCCTTAATCCTCTTACAAATCGTGACTTTACACGATAACTTTAAAGGTGAACATCTACTTATGGACGTTTTGATGCTTTCTTTTTCTTAAGTGGCAGATGGTTTCTTTTAACCTAAAATTGAAGTCGTTGGGGAACTCCTAATTCCACGTCTAGTCCTAGTGTCCACAGGCTACCAAAGATGATACGAATAGCTTCTCAGGCACTCTACCCACCTTTTACCTTTGTTAATACAAATATTTCCCAGATCTGGGTCCCGAAATTATTTTACCCTGCAGAGCAGAAATGTTATGATGTTCATTCAGTGAACTCTTCCCTAGTTTTTAATCGTTGCGTTTTCTGCGTATACTTCAAGCCACCAGTAACTTTCCCAGTTACCAAGAAACAGTTAACACAGGTTGCTGCTTGTTTTGTTCGGAATTTACGAGCCATTTAACCACACACGTGATTAGCAACTTTAAGGCGGCTCTTCTAGGCAAACAATCCACAGAATGTGAGGCCCCTGGTACCCAAATGAGGCAACAATGAAAGATCGGCGAAGCTCAGCAAGGTTCCTGAGCGCCAAGGACGCCAGCTCTGATTTCAGGTTTCCGGAGTGCGCCTGCGGGGCAGCCTGTATGGCCGAGGCGCAAAAGGGGTCCAGGAAAGAGGGTGCCCTTAGGGACACGGAGATTATCGTGGGCGACCCTGCCACCAGCCGCCCCCACCACGAAGAAAAGGAAACGCTCCGCATCCCGTCACCAGGGCAACTCTGCAATCCGACACCTCAAGATTCCGCATCCCGGGCAGCGGATACAAGAGAAAAGCGCATCACAGCCCGGCCGCGGGGCTTCAAGTCGTCTCTGCCACCGCTGTTCCCAGGGTGCTGAGAGCGACGAGGGAGCCACTCAGTCCGCGAACTCGAGGTCCGAGGCTCAGCCATCCCCTGCAACGGCACCGCGCCCGGCCGGCGCCTCCCGCACGTGGCGGCCGTGATTGTCCCGGGGCGGTATCCCTCCGCGCCCCCGCCTCAGTCTCCCCCCGCCCTTCCCGGGACCCTCCGTGCCCGGGCGCCGCGGAAGGATCGCACGCACGCGCGCGCGCACGCCTCGCCGTGTCCGCCGAGAACGCAGGGCGCTGCGGTTAGGAACAGCCGCCGCCGCTGCCGCCGCCGCGGGCACAGCAGCTTTGCAGCCTCCCGCCGCTGGGTAGTCAGCCCCGCGGCTGTGGGCGGCCGGGCGGCCGGGCGCGCTCTGAGGCTCGCCCCTCACCGCTGTACCCGCGTCCTCCCTCCTCAGCTCCTTGGGGAGGGGGGCGGTCGGTGCCTGCGCAGAGCCGCCTCCTCCCCGCCCCCGCCCCGCCTCCCCCCGTGCTGCCGCCGCCGCCCGCTACCGCCGCCGCCGCCGCCGCCGCGCCTGCTGCTCCTCGCCGTCCCCGCTGCAGTGCGAAGGGCTCGAAGATGGCCGGTTGGCAGAGCTACGTGGATAACCTGATGTGCGATGGCTGCTGCCAGGAGGCCGCCATTGTCGGCTACTGCGACGCCAAATACGTCTGGGCAGCCACGGCCGGGGGCGTCTTTCAGAGCATTACGGTGAGGACCAGTGGCGGCCGGGACCCTGGTGTCCGCACCGGAGCGGGGTTGGCCGGCTGCGGGTGCGCCGCAACATGGAGGGTCGAGCCCGCAGGTGTGCGAGGCAGCAGGCGCTGAGGATGCGGCTGCCGGGCGGGCGGGGAGGCCGAGGCCCGGGGACGCCCCCTCGCCTGGGTCTGCGCTGACAGGCTGGGGGCGGCGGCCGGACTCCTCGTCGGCCCTGGCCGGGCGCCCCCGGCGTTCTCAGCGTCAGTTCAGGTGCCGGGTTGGGGGAGGGGGCGCGCACCGGCCAGGGCTAGGGTAGGGGTTCCTTTTTTCCGCCTAGTGCGGTTACCCTAAGGTTCTGTTGAAGCCATGAGGTTTACTATGCACGTCCTGAGGTGGAAGCGAGGGTTGGGGATCCGAGCTGAGGAGCGCGGGCCCCGGGTGGAGGTCCCTAGGATCCCTGGCCGCCTCTTGCTCCGCGGACAGCGCGCCGCCCGCTCCTACGGCTGTGGGAGGCGGCGGCCCGGGTCCGGCCCCCGGGATTCTCGAAGCGACTTTGCGTAGGTTTGCCGGTGTCCAGGCCTCTGGGGCTTGCGAGAGATGTACGCCTACCGCGTAGGTGGATTCGTGAATCTCGACTTCAGCTCTAGCTCTATAGGTTGTTTTTTTTTTTTTTTTTTTTTTAATTCTCCAAGATGGCGAACTGCCATTGATTTCTCTTCTTCTCATATGGAGATTCATCGATATACGGTTATCCCCAGTTACGCAACATAGCTCAAAAGAGGGGTGCTTTTCGGGGGCTTTCAGTAATTGCGGAGACCTGAAGGACACTTCACTTCTCCTAGTCCCTCCCTCTTTAGTGGTGGTAGTAAAGGAACTAATGCAGATTTATGCTTCACATTGCCTGATTTTCTTGAGACTTGATGGTTTTGATGTGGTTGCAATATGTTTGGGGAATATTTGCCACTAAGCCTCCAGTTTATTGTTTTGCCTATTTTTGCCCAAGGCTTTTTCTAAAATTGTGATAATTGTATTAAATATGAGACCATTTCCTTAATTACTTAAGGGAGCACCAAGCTCCCTTCCCCTTAAACCCCAACGTTCAGGTCCCCTATTACGGGTGCTAGTTATTCTTTTACCACTTAACATGGTTTAAAGTCTAACTTTAGAACTCATTACTTGATAATAGTACTTTAAGGTCTCGTATACCCGCAGTGGACTACAATTCTTGTAGGGAATTGGCATCTGGTCATCAACTTTTTTCCTGCGGTCCTCTTGTCTTTGTGTGTGAGTTCCCGCTGTCTGACTAGGAAGATTGCGGGAGTGTGCTTGGAAATGGCTGGGGCCTGCTATGACTCTGCAGTTCTGATGGGGGCGACGCCTTCCTTCTTATTCATGGAATGTTAGAATGCACGTTTTCTCCTTTCCGGTTCTGGTGGCTACCTCAGTTTCTTTCCCAATCTCCCTCCATTTTCTCTGTTTTACTGTTGCCTACTGCTGTAGGTGGAATCCACTTTGCATTTCCCCAGAAAGAAAACTGATTACTGAAATGGGAGGGGAAGGGAAGTTGGAAAGAAACAGGAGTCGTGACTAGAAAAATAGGAGGGAAATATGAATTGGAAAAGCACTGATGATGTCTAGGGATTGACGTCCATAATATCATCAGGGATATTTCTAGCTATTCCAAGCAGAGAAGTGAACAATCAAAGAACAGGCTTTATTTCGGGAGACTTTGAGGCAACTTTAAATTTGATGAAACATGATTGACTGTAATGTGACTATGATAGACCATCTCTGTTCAAAGAGTTGATGGCTGAATTTTTACGGTTACGTGAACACTTTCAGTTGACTTAATACAGTTTATAAGTAAGTTTGCACTTTGTCTAGCGTCAACTATTTAGAGTTTCTTTGTATAGACTGGTCTTGGTTAAGAGCTGACACCGATAACTGAAGTCAAGTCAAATGATGTAAAACATGTAATCATATCGGATTGAGTAATTCTTTAGAAAAGACTGAATCTTGGTTTTACCTTAGTGAAACTGTGGCTGTCTCGCGGTGGTAGTGTAAGCTCCTGTTAACATCAAGCCCTGAAAGGAATTAACTACAACTTCCATTTCTTTTTTCTTTTTTCTTTTTGGTGGGGGGGCAGCCAATAGAAATAGATATGATTGTAGGAAAAGACCGGGAAGGTTTCTTTACCAACGGTTTGACTCTTGGCGCGAAGAAATGCTCAGTGATCAGAGATAGTCTATACGTCGATGGTGACTGCACAATGGACATCCGGACAAAGAGTCAAGGTGGGGAGCCAACATACAATGTTGCTGTCGGCAGAGCTGGTAGAGGTAAGTAAGGTATTCTTTTGGTTAGAAGTTGCATGCCACATTACAACTTATTAAGCACTTTCTTTTAACATTTTGGTTAAAAGTTAGTCCATAATGGCTATTAAGGTGGTTTTTGTGAACTGCTCAGCACTGTGAAGCACTGCTTTAGTTTTACCTACTCTAAGCATCTACAACCTGACCTCTTAGATCCTGATTTTGTTCTAAGAATATTCATATCAACTCACTTTAACTTTTATTAAACTTAAAAATCTCTTAAACTGCTTGACATGTCAAATGATAATCTGTGGTGTTTCAGATTGTTAAATTGTTCAAATGACTTGGTTATTTTAGTCCGTTTCAGTGCGTTTGACTTTTGGATCTCTCTCCTTTTTTTTCTTGCTTGTATTCTAACCATTTCACTAAGCATAAAGAAGGAACAATTAACATCAGTTCATTTTTCAGTTAGGAACTTTGCCGGGGAAGAGATAAATAATTAGATGAGAATTTTGGAGTAAGTTGTCCATTCACTGAAATATTTTCAAAGATTGTGTGTCTGGGACTTAGATTTGAAAAGTAGGAAATTACATTTAGTTTGTATACTTGGTCCAAAAATTCAGGTGTCTCCAGATTGTTGTCAACATTATAGAAACTCTTAATTGCACTAAAGAAGTATCCCTACTTTTTCAAAATAAACTTCTGAAATTGAGGTTTGTTATGACATCTAATTGATTTACAAATACATTTAAATGTGTTAACGCATATGAGTATTTTGTAAATATAGAGTGCTTCTGTAGCCTCCTATAGCTGACTTGGCAAATCTAATTTTAATAACAGCTCTACCATATGAGGGGACTTAAAGCTGCACTGAGTTATAATTTAATGCTCTGGCTCTACCAGCTCCCTGTGATTATCCTAAAAGTTAATCTTATTCTGGTGTGAGTTGATGTTTATAAATATTTATCTATAAGAAAATTAGATGACTTTGAAATAGTGACAAATCTCTTTAAACCTTAGCTGCACTCAAAGATAAATATGCTAAAAAGAAGCATCCAACACAAGAAACCAGAATATTTTATACCATACAGCACTACTGACATCTAGTGGTAGTGAATATAAAATTTGACATATACGTGTATTTTGGGTTATAGATCTTTGAATTGCATCATAGAAGAGCAATTAGAAATCGTAAACCTACTTTTTTAGACGCAATTTAAAAAAAGGCTAGTATGGTAAAGCTATCAGTAAGCACACACCTTAAATACATTTAATTTGGCCTTTTCTGAATGATACTGAATATGCTACTTAAAATTGGATCTTCATTTTCCTTTGGAAATAACAGACGCATTTAGCCTCACTGGTAAAACTTAATAGTTTATACTTATCAAGTATGTTAAAATTTGGGGAGTTTGTAAGTAAATAACTCACCAAGTTTTTAAGTTTATATTTTTGGGGCAAGTAATGACGTGTACTTGTCATATCAGCTAGAATATTTTTGCCCTAAAATAGAAGACAAATGATCACTTTTTTTTTCTCTAGCTAGTGTAAAGATAGTTATGTAGAACTTTTGCTTGCATTGATGGGGGCTTCCACAATGCAGTCAAGTTTATTATTTTCTGTTTAATATATTACTAGGTTGAGAGTTCTTTTTGGAGACCTAATTGACTTCAGTGATTGGCAGTTCATGGAAAACTAACTTAATGTTAACTTATTAATCAGGGTTCTGTCTGCTAAAACTTATGTGACTTTCTTGATTAACACTTCTTTTGAAACACTTTTCTTCTTTCTCTTTCAGTCTTGGTCTTTGTAATGGGAAAAGAAGGGGTCCATGGAGGCGGATTGAATAAGAAGGCATACTCAATGGCAAAATACTTGAGAGACTCTGGGTTCTAGCTGCTAGGCAGACTGTTAAGTATTAGGGGAAAATTGCTCTTAAACTTTCCTAGCTGTAAGCTTAAGTCTTAATTCTGGAAATTTTATTAGCAATGCAGGGTGATGGGGTATGAACCTGTGTCTCCTTTGTATCCCTCTGTTGGTGGGGAAAGGTGTCTTTCTTTCTGCCCTCCCCCCCTTAAATAATTGTGTTCACTTTTGTTTTGTTTCCTTGTGTACTCCAGCATTGGTTATAGTCATGGGAAAGGAAGGTGTCCACGGAGGCACACTTAACAAGAAAGCATATGAACTCGCTTTATACCTGAGGAGGTCTGATGTGTAAGCAGCCTCTCCCCATCTACCTAGCAACTGTCTTCATCAACAACCCCAATTATGGTCACAATGCTACCAAACTATAGACGGTAGCTAATTTTTCTTTACCTATTTTCTAATGTCATGATTCCTGTTTGCCCAATGGATCATTTGTATGTTAACCACTGTATGTAACCAACCTTTATCTGGCAACATAATTGCAGCACAATAATGATTTGCATGATACCTTGAAATTGGGGGGAGGGGGCATGCCAAGTTGGGCATCACTTTGTCTTAGCAATTAATGGGATATTGATTACTAAAATAAGTTAATATTAAGCAAGGTGCCGGTTGTACAATCTCTGATCAGTGTCTTTTCAGCACTTTGAGCATTTACTTGGCTCATTTAGTCTTCCTTTTGTAGCGCATGGTTGGGAGGAAAAAGTG